TTTCCATTAAATTAAAAACTCAATTAAAATCACATGTGAATAAGTTTGCTCACACAGTAAGTCATTCAAAAATATGCCATGATCTTCTAACTACTTCCTGTCGTCTTCTTCTTCATGGTTTGCGCCACCAGCAACATTCAGTTGTTGATCATGTAGCTCGTGTGATGGGAAAGTTTCCATTGCCGTTTTGCACAGTAAACCAATTTATTGCGAAAAACAAAATCACCTCATCCTTGCACCAACATTTAGTTTTTAACGGAAACCAGAAGTTTCTTTTTTAATTGCGCACATTTATTTTTGTGATTTTATTGTGCACAACATTATGGTTAATGGATTTACAGCTCCTTAGTTTACTTCCTGTTATCCGACAGGTTATGCAGCCTTAATCCGGCCTGGTTGTGGTCAGTGGGTTGATGATCTGAGGCACAAAACAAGTAAAAGCAGCAGAACTCTGTGAGGGGTAGAATCCTTTTTCACAGCCCTGGCTGTGCGTGTGAAGGCAGACAGGCGTGTTTAGTTTTCATCAAGGTTGTGGTTTTCTGCCCTCCTGCACTTGAAGAGGCATTCAGTTTAAAATGCGTTTTGTGTTATTAGTGAACATGTAGCTGTCTGAATAATGCATCCGAACCCTGGCCTCTTTACTCTGTGATGTTCGAGGCCGGGCGAACACAATGTGTTGCCCAGTGTGCTGTTAAATATAAATGAGCACTGAAGTGGCGTTCTTTGTGAATCACATGAACTGCTTTGGTGAAAAGGGTTACGGAAGAATTCAATGGACATTTAGGATGTCCACAGGGGTTTGCAAGGCTGAACCTAAAACACACAATCTAATGTGGGATTCAAGACAACCTTTAAAGCTGAATGTTGTTACCAGTAGTTGTGCAGTCTGTCTATCTATCTATCTATCTATCTATCTATCTATCTATCTATCTATCTATCTATCTATCTATCTATCTATCTATCTATCTATCTATCTATCTGTCTGTCTGTCTGTCTGTCTGTCTGTCTGTCTGTCTGTCTGTCTGTCTGTCTGTCTGTCTGTCTGTCTGTCTGTCTGTCTGTCTGTCTGTCTGTCTGTCTGTCTGTCTGTCTGTCTGTCTGTCTGTCTGTCTGTCTGTCTGTCTGTCTGTCTGTCTGTCTGTCTGTCTGTCTGTCTATCTATCTATCTATCTATCTATCTATCTATCTATATCTATATCTATCTATCTATCTATCTATCTATCTATCTATCTATCTATCTATCTATCTATCTATCTATCTATCTATCTATCTATCTATCTATCTATCTATCTATCTATCTATCTATCTATCTATCTATCTATCTCAAGAAATGATTGTATCTGTTTTCCTAACAGAATTTGCACATGTATGCAAACGCCTTTAATAGATTCATACATGCATAGATTGATATGCAGAGGCAGGACATGTAGAAAAAATATGATTTAATAGAAAAACTTTAATACTACAACCAACATTAAATGTCATTTTAAAACCTACATAAAAATTCATACTCATCACTCAATACTCCAAACTCTCACATGGGTATATCAAAGAATACATTCAACAATACGCTAAAGATATTCACTTGTAACATTTATTTAAAATGTGTTTTTGATTCCATGGGGACATTTAGCAGAAATATAGCCTGGTCATTGTCTTTCTGTGTAATGCACTGGATTAAAACCTCACTTCATAGTCAGTCTGGGCTTTCTCCTATTAACTTGGATTCCCTCGGGTAGAATTTCTACCAGGTCAAACAGTGAACAGAAGAAGAAGTTGAAAGCAATGTTGGCGATTTTCTGCTCTGTTTTAGAAAATCAATTCTGCCTTCAGTTTTAGTTTTACCAATAGCAGCAGAGGAAATGAAGGAAGCCGATCAGTTTGTGTTGGCCACACTACCAAATGTTGAATTAACGGGAACAACAGCCTTTGTTATGCTCTGTCTGTCTCTCTTTAATGTAGAAAGTAATTTCTGGTAAGCTTCATAGCTCCGAGCTGGGTCATTACATACGTCACAGCCAATCATTGCAGATTGGGTAGCATTCATGACATCAACAGAGTCCACGTCCCCAGGAAGCCATTGTTTCTCAACAGCCAAGAGCCTGACTGTCTTTACAAAGCAAAGTGTTGTACAACGGTCTGGTTTCAAATCTGCTATTGTTTGTTCCTTTGTTGTCCTCACAAAAGTTTCTGCAACAGTGTGATGCACTGGGTTCCCTGTAGTTGGTGTAATAAAACCTGCAGCCTGTGATCCAACAGCAGGTCCAGTCGTTGTCTGTTCTCAGTGTTTTAAATCCAACTAGATTGTTATTGTGAACATTGAGTGTCTTCTGAGATAGCTGTGAATTGAACATGGGCTGCTACACCATGACCTGGCTACTGCTGTAGGTGTGATGAAGGAAAAGAAAAAAGAAGCACCTGACATGAGTACTAATAATATTTTTTTTTTTCTCTCCACAATGATCTAACACTTCCTGTATTTTGCTCCTGCTTCTTCCAGTTGGTGCTGCCAGAGTACTCCATCCATGGGCTGTTCTGCATAATGTTCCTGTGTGCCCAGGAGTGGCTGACTGTGGGCCTTAACATCCCCCTCCTCTTCTACAATACCTGGAGGTATCCATGAAATCTGTTTGTTCTGTGTTTACATTCACTTTTATTTACTTCTATCATGTTGGTTTTGCTAGGATCATTCTAAAGAATTTGAAATTTTTATCAAATTTGGTAAAGATCCAAAATGCTGCTAAGGAAGTATATTGCTATCATGGAGGAACATTATTTTTAGCACTACCACATTGTAACGTGATACTTTTCTTGTAGGAACATGATAATTTTATGTCCAGGAGGTGGCGGTAGTATGCTTTTTGTGCAGGCATAATGAAGGCTAAATTGGCCAAATTTTCCTTCATGCTTGGTCTAAACCATGGAGAGATACCGATACTGCTCCGCATTATGATTGAAACCATCTTTAGTATGTACAGTCTGGCCAGCCTAAACAGAAAGAGGCTGCACAGAAGAAAACTGCAGTCCGATCCTCTAGCTGTGGCAGCGTTCCTAACTTGACAGTGTGGAGTGAAGCTGAAGTGTGCTTCTGATTGCAGCTTCTGATCTGACTAAAGGCAATTATTACAAAATGAAAGCTTCTTTAATCAAAACGGAGGTTAAGATGTATTTGCTGAATACGCTTCTGTAGTACACCTGCACGAAAAGCATACTCCCCCCCTCCCCCCTCCTGGACATGAAATTATTACGATTAAGCAAGATAACTATCATATTTATACAACATATCATCACGTTTAAACAAGATTAGTATCACTCATAACTTGATAGCGCTCGAAAAAAAATTTTCTCTTAGAGTATTGAGTAAGTCCTGCCTCCTTATGCTATTCCTAACCTCTCAATACAACTACAGTTATGAAGCTATTGTTTGATTTAAATGAAACAATACTCTTCTGTTAGGATGACCCAAAGTCCAACAGAAAATCTGTGGCAAGACTTAAAAACTGGTATCCACATATTCTCGCCGTCCAGTTTCAGTCCTAGATGAGTTGCAATTTCCTTCCACTTCATAATTAAACCTTACTTGCTGTTGGTCATTCACACAACATTCTGATAAAATTTTTTTAAAAAAGTTGCAATGTTCAAGGGTTATAAGCAGGTCACTTTTATCAAACCCTGTGTGTAAAGTGTTCTGACTCTCTCTACAATATGTCTGAGAACAATTAAAGACTTGGAATAGGCTGACATTTAAAGCGACAGTGTCAGTGTAACAAACAATGCAGCTACCAGCTTTAGGAGTCCTACAGCCAGGCAGCAGTCATTGATGTTCATATTTTGCTGTTTCCTGTTTATCTGTGCTCCTCTTCTCCGGTCAGCGGGTTAGGCTTGGACTCCTGGCAGTCTGATTGATTTAAGCTCATGTGCTCTGCTGGCTGAGGCTTAGACTAGAGGAGAGGACGTGAGGAGAGGAAAACATCTTGCTGTCTCATTAACTGCAAACTGTGCCAGATGCCCACCGGCTACAGATGCCGCAGCTGGGAGATGAGAGGACAAGAAAAAAAAAAGGAGGCTGGAAGGCGGAGACAGAGGAGGGGATGATATGAGGCATGCAATGGCAGCAAGACGGGGAAAGAGAAAGATTGTGAATGATGCGTGTGAGATGGAACATTGACAAGGCGTCTCTCAGGGGGAGGGTGGCTGGTAGAGGCTGTGTATATATGCATACATACCATCACTGTGTTCATCTGCATTTTACAAATGTTTCTGGGATGGTTTTGTTCCAGAGAACAGTCTGACAGTTCTGCAAGGAAACTTCCCAGTGTAGTCTGAGTGTGCATTGAGGTGGCAGACCTTTCCATAAACCCCTGTGGGACATGGCTGCAAGAAATGGCATAGTACTTTATGAAGTCCAGAAGGCCAACTCATGATCTTGAGTTGGAAAAGAGCAGAATGCCCTTTACAGGTCAAGGAAGACATCCTGCCACAAGTGGACGAGTCTAAGTATCTTGAGGTCTCGTTCACAAATGAGGACAAAATGGAGCGGGAGATTGATATTGGTATGTGGATTGGTGCGGCGTCTGCAGTGAACCCATCTACCGGGGTGAAGGTAGAACTGAGGGAAACATTCTCAAGTAACCTGTCAAGCTACCTTTCTACCATCATCTATGGTGAAGAGCTTTGGGTAATGACCGAAAGAACGAGATTACACATACAAATGGCCAAAATAAGTTTTCTCCACAGGGTGTCTGGGATTTCCCTTAGAGACAGGGTGATGGGCATCTGGTTAGGATGCCTCCTGGTCGCCTCCTTCTACAGGCATTCCAAGCACATCCTGCTTGGAGGCATGCAGAGGAAGACCCAGTGCATTCTAGAGGGACGATGTTTCTTGTCCGGCCTGGGAACAACTTGGAATTCCTTGAGGAGCTGCTACCACTGCAACCCAACCCCAGATAGGCATAAGAAAGTTAGTGGATGGATGGACACAGGTCCTCAAGATCTACCATCCTGCAGGTTTTAGATTCATCCCTGCACCAACACAGATGAATCAAATGATTGAATGACGTCATCACCATGCAATCAAGTTTGGCGGAGGCCTGGTAGCATAGCATTCATTTAATTCAGCTGTGTGTGAGCAGGGTTGCATTTTAAACCTGTGAGTTGGTAGCTCTTAAGGACCAGTTTTGGAGACGCCTGGCTGCTCTATAATGATACAGTTGGACTGGAATCAGGACGCTCCTGCTTACTGGTATGTTTGGAGTCTTTGTTTTGTTAAAACATCCATTTCAGGATCACTTGCTCTTCAGGATCAGGCAACATGACCGCTTCAACTGATCCGTGAATCCTTGTATGTGAGAAATAAACCCCGCAGCATAGATCAAGAATCACCTTCCTTCATGCCTCACAGTGTGCTGTGGTTACGTTGCCTTTCATTCAGGACTTTCTTTTGTGAAAAGAAGCGGTCTGAGTATTGAGAAATTTAAAAGAAGAATTGTCACCACACTTCATATCCACAATAATTTAATTTGCACTGATGAGAAGGTTATTGTAATTCCTAATTACCTTTCCATTATAATTCTTAAATTTGTTCTAATCTGGTTCATTGTCTTTCTCTTGCTACATCAAATCATATTTTAATGATAGTTATATTTCCTAATTTATCAGCTTGTACTGTTGTTCACCACTGTACCTCTTCTGCATCTCCATTCTACATATAAATAATTTTTTCATGAATTTCATGTATTTTTATGTAGAAATACATGGAACTGACATTACAGACATGTCCATGATGATCCATCGTTCAGCATAATGTCTAACATTTCATTTCTGTGACACATGGAGCCACATTTTCTGTGATCTTTCAAAGAACATGAGTTACTATACATAAAAACTTCCCTGTAAATTAATGGAATATATGCATCATGATGGCAGCTTATTGTTTGGACTAGACCACCAAAAAAAAAATGAGGCTTTTCTGCACCGACCAAATTGATACATTTTAATGTAACTATTCATTTTAGTCAGTTGTATCAAACGAAATAACTCTGAATCTAACAAAGTGGTAAATGTCTGTCAGCAATTAGAACTGCTCCCTGCCTCCCTCCAAGCAACATGCAACGGTAGCAATTCCCTCTTCTTCTCTAATTTCCCTCATGGCACATTTTCTGCTACAATATAAACAGCCCGGCTGCAGTCGGTCTCATTGGAATGTAAAAGCTCTGATGAACATGTGCTGTGCCAATATTACCCTTCAGGTTTTGTGTTTTGGTGTCGTTCTGCATTGGTATTCTAGTCCACTAGGATTCAGAGTGTTTAGTTTTTGCGCACAGGGATTTTTATTAAGAAACACAGATTGGGAGGCACTGTGCTATAGACGCAGGTACAATTCTTCTTTTGAAAGGCCCCTAGATTCAGAAGCCTCTGAACACTTCCAAACATCACAAAAGACAAAATATTATCTCATGTGTTGTTTCAAAATGTGTTTATCTTGTTGGAAACTTAAAATTCCATTTAACGAATTGACCTCTTTTTCTAACTCTTGTCTTTATTCATTTCTTGAAAACTCTAACTCAGTCAGTTCAGTTAGAGGTTAGTTTTAGCAGTGAGTGAGTCTTATGCGAGAAACGGATCTCATTTCATTTTAAGAAGATAAAATGGAGGCTGTCACATCAGAAAGCAGCGACTTTTGCAGGGTTTATTGATACTTTGACTATTATAATGTACCTTGTGACATTTAGGTAATGCAAGAAATAATACACAATACTGCACTAAAGAGAGAAGCAAACCTACATTGTGGCAATATTTCAGAGGAAAATTGAAACACCCCATTTCTGGAACGAGTCAACTACCCGGGGTGTGCTGTTGTGCCCTCTGCAGCAGGTACTTCCATTCCCCAACGGACACTAAGGAGCTGATCTACGACCCGGCATCTGTGATGAACGGCGACACGCTCAAGTTCTGCCAGAAGGAAGCGTGGTGCAAGCTGTCCTTCTTCGTCCTGTCCTTCTTCTACTATCTCTACTGGTAAGCGCCGGGCTTCACCCAGCGGAGCGGTTCTTAGATGTTGAGGTATGTTATGGATGCTGATCTGAGGGGGCTTGGAAACCTCGTCGAGTAGCGCGGGTTTCTGAAGAGAAGAGGTTTGTCTCTCCGCAAAGACTGATTCTTCGGCTCTGACAGCAATGTGTGTGCAAATCTCTGAATAAAGTAACCATTTCTCTAGCGATCACATGCTGCCTCCTCCGTGTGACAGAAGTTTAGCCAGGGTAGGAATGTTTCCTTGTAGGCCAGCTATCGCTAATGCATGTGATGTCAAGAGAATTTGATTCTTTACTTCATTGACAAGCACCACCTAAAGCAGCAGCACTCTTACTCGAAATGTGAATTATTCTGTTTTGTTTTCGGAGGGTCTTAGTTCTGCTCACTGTTCTGAATGTTTCTGCTGAAATTGTCTGTTGTTCTGTGATGATAATAACACGCACAGTTTTCCTCTCTATGTCTAACAATGCTGTTATTAATCACTCCGGATTCCTGTCCCATGTGTCATGTGGGTGCTGCAGTGTGTGGAACCTGGAAATATCCCTCTATTAGGTCTTATCAGTGGAAACATTTAAAGGTACAATCCTTACTTTTTCTTAAACACTATATTCTGTAGGGCTTATTTTAGGCTTTAGAGAGAAATAATATTCAAAAGGAACTTTTGACTCTATCTTGAAGTCAGGTTTGTGGTTTTCAGAAATGTATGTGAAATGTCTTTGGATTATATGATTTTTGACATTGTGGCTCTGAAACAGTTCTTCTTGTTGATGAAATATGCAAAAGAGAACCAAAAGTATACAGCTGAAACTAAATATTTCCATACAAAATCAGTTCAAATTACCAAAATGATTTATATTCAATAAATGCCAGAGGTGTTGTGCGACCAAACTGAGAAATGTATGTCAATTCTGCACTGAAGAAACTTCCAGAAAGTGATTCTGTGAAGCTTGATGAAGGACAGATGCTTCAAATTGTGGAAAAAAGCTAAAAAGAAGAAAATTCTCCTCCTCATTATTCTGGCATTTATTAAGTAGAAATCATTTGGTACTAAAAACTGACTGAAAACAGAAAAAAAATACTCACTGTAGTTTAATGTCAGCTTAATGTCTGCTTTACGGTTTGTGTAATTCAATTCTTCTAAAATCTAATCTTAATCAAATTTCATTAAGTTAATGAAAATAACGTTAAGGTGAAAGCTAAAGTGTTCCCTCCTGGCAGAAATCTGAGAAACTGACTTCAATAAGCTAACGTGTTGAGCTCATTTGTTTCACATCCATTTCCATACCATCGATCTGTTGAAACGAGCATAACAACACCCCATCCTGCTAGCGGACGCTAAATGATCGAGTGCGGCAGTATGTTAGATATGTCTGCAGCTAATGTGTGAACACTCTGAGGCAACACTGTCAGCGTGAAGCGAAGTCACAGTGTGGTTGGTGTTTGTGTCGTGGCACTGGGTGTCATCAGCTCTGGATGCAGCGCTCAGCTTGAACTGAAATCATCTCGCTTCTTCCATCTCATCCCATCGTCCCGCCCGGCTCTGGCTCATGTCGGACTGTTTTAGAGATCAACCAAGGCGACGGCATCAGACAGGTATTCTGCAGCACGAGGTGATGGTGCGTTCACTTTCAGTTCCATCTGGTTCAACATAGTTGGCCCTGCTTATTTTCCTGCTCCTTCCTAAAAATTTCAAATGTGCTTTTTTTTAACCTACTGTTAGATTTCTAGTGTCAAACATTTTTTCACTGCTTCCTCTTGTTATACTAAAAATACATGTATCTACGGATCACAAAACACAAACTTTTTGCTGAAAGTTTGTGTTGAACACTGCAGGGACTGCTCCAAAAATATCTACATTCAATCACACTCGCCCTGTTTAGTATACTTTAGTGGAACTCAAACTTGTTTGCTCAGATAGTCCAATTCGTTTGGGAAATTATAAACTCTGGTTCACCTTCAAACCTCGCTTTCTGTTTGGTTGAAGTCAACTTTGGTGCAGTTCAAATGTGTGAACACCAAGGGGACTGGAGACCACTCCAAAAACAGGAAGCAGGGAATAGCACAGGGCATTCTGGGTACAAAAAAACCTAAAACAAATGTGTGAGTCTGGCTCCTGGTATTTTCCCAAAGACAAAAGTAAAATCCTACAACCACTAAAATCTGACGGCACTCCATTTTATTTACCTCAGAAGAAGACACTGAGGAAGTTGTGCTCAGCATTTTCTGCTGAGGTTTTCATGTCATTTCCTTCAGTTGTTCTTGGTCCACAGGTGAATGGGTGAACAGGTTTTTCAAAGTATCTTTTACATTTTACAGTGTGAAAGTGAATCACAGCAGCTAAAAATGGAACAAATGTTTTATCTTTGGTTCTCAATCGAACTGAGTCTGCCGGACTACCAGGTGTGACTGGACTGAATAGAAATACATGACTTATCTTTCAAAGCTTTATTTGTAAAACATCATGTCCAACATTAATGGTTGTGGCGGAAAAAGTGACAAATTGAAAAAAGAAATCTGCTACTGAGTCTCTGAGACTTCAGATTTAATTTACTTTTTTCACATTATGTATCAAAGCTCATCTAAAAACTGTAAAGTACATTTAAATTTTAAAAAAAGTCTGAGAATAAAATAGCATTTTAGTTCAACTGATCCAAACTACAAACAAATCAAAATCACACCAGAGTTCATCGCTCTACACGTCCAAAGGCTAAATCCCAGGTGTCAGTTTAAGATGGCTGCCGCTGTGCTCGGGTTTAAACCTTGATGAACGTGATTGAACTGGAAGTGAAGCAGCCTGAAACCTGCTCTGTGGGGCTTGTGTCTGTTTTCTCAACCCTTCTTTTTCTGTGGCAACCAGAGTCCAACTCGCCTGCTCCCCTCAGCTCATCCCCACCTTCACAGTGACTTCTACCTGCACACAAACACACTCTGGACACACACCTGCATACCATGAAGGCTTGTATGTTACAGACTTACAGGTCCTTTCCAGACCAAAACATTGACTTTAGAATTGTACTACTTTAAGAGGAAGATAATAAGATGAAGCCTGCCTGCTGGTTTGCTCCTGCTTGCCCACGTCAGCACCTCCTCCTCACACTGGATGACTATGAAACCCTGCCTGACTAACGGAGTCTGACTTGTACCCCTGTTTTTCTCCTCCTGCCCTTCCTGTCACAGAGATGCTTCAGTAACCAGCACTTTCCCCTGCCAATGAGATGAGCGCGGGTTTTCTGTCACTGAGCATGTTGCTGGATGAATATTGGACCTCTAACCCGTTTCTTTCCTTTCCATCCTGCCACAGCATGAACTAACAGGACAGTTTTCTGAGTTATACCACATATTCACATGAGGATAGCCTGGGTTCATTTACCACAGCAGGCAGATGTTACAAGGTGGCACATTATAAACGTCACAAATAAACGATTGGGTTACCCAACATAGTCAACACCTACAGCAAGCGATCATTTCTCCATAACCTAGTGTCCAGACCTGATGGACAAAACAAAGCATAGAACAAGACTACGTTTTCCATTAGTTGCAGATTTTAGCAGAGCCTCTTACTCTCCTTCATATGTATCCTGCCTAAACATATTTGTAGTTGTTTAGGTGGGATGCATATGAAAGGTACAAGGGCCAAACCTCTTTGGCTAATGCTAGCACAACTGTATAAGACCAAGTTTACCTACATACATTCTTTCAATTTCTACATTTTCAAACTTACAATTAAATGACAATAAACTCTGTCTATGTCATACTGAATGAAATTTCAAATATCTAATGTGAAACATGAGCAGCAGCCAAACTCAGATGCAGCTAAACATATCCAGTCCACGCAGTACATCCTGTTTGCCTGCTCATTACGAAAATTGTAGCATTTTTCCAAGAATCCAACATAATATCAGTTTCTATCACCTAATGCACCTAATGCTTCTTCTGAATTTGCACAATCCAGAAGAAGCATTAGGTGCCAGGGGGATATACTGTATGCTACAGTTTGCTGAGCTGTCAGTGAAAGCTCCCTTCTTGGGCCCACTCCTTTACTCCAGATTTACTTACTGACCTATATCAGTTTTTTGCACTCAGGACCAATTTTTTATTAGAAGGATTTGGTTTCCATTGCTTGGGTTACTGCGCCTAGCTAACAGGGATGTTCCCTCTGAGAAGATAAGAAACTTCAGACAAGTGAAGTTAACCAGAAGCTGCTTGGAAGAACATGGGTGTAAGATTACAAGGTCTTCTGTGAAAACGTCTGGGTGAATGGAAAAGCTCACCCAGACGTTCCCCTCCAGCCAGCAGTGGAGGGGAAGAGATCTAAGCTGATACATGGAGGCAGACCATGCCACACATCAGATGTGACCTTTATGCAGCGAAGCTAAATTGGGAGAATTTGTCTGATGTCATTTAGTGTTGAAGCTTTTCTTCTTTTTTAAACTTGGTGCTTAGATGCAAATAATTACAAAAATATAGCTAAATCTTGCTGTAATAAAAAAAAAGTAGGATCTGGGTTTTCAGAAAGAATTCAAAAGCTTCATATCCTTCCTGCTGTGGATTTCTCCTCTCTGTCCCAATGAGGCTTCTTATAAAGATTTGTTTGGAAATAAATCACTTTCAGCTTAAAAAGCCCCTGATTAGCTGGAAACAAAAGAAAACTGTTTCTTAACTGTGAATTCACCATAGCTAAGCTCAACAAAGGCCATGCTGATAACAAAACTCTTCTCTGTGGAAGTTCTTATGAATCAACTCTTGTTTTCAAGAAATGAATGAAGCAGAAGCACAAACACTGACAAGCTTCTGAACAGGAAACTATTTCTATGTTGACACAATAATCAACTAACTGAAGCCAAATCACCAAATTATGCAGTGATAGTGACATGTTTTAAAAGTATCTGAATCGATATCAGTATTGTATCTGCAATGCCAATATTCCTCTTAGCATAAAAAACTCATGCTGATAGACTGAAATGTTTTCAAAATGTGCTTCATTAAAGTTTTAAAGGGGCAGGATTATGTGTTTTTAAGCACATAGTTCATTTTATAGCACAATCAAGTAACCATGTTACCTCCAGTTGTTGAAAAATGTTATATGACTCAAACGAAATCTGACTTTGCAAGTTAACTCCCTGAAATTGGGCTTCTGTTGTTTTAAAAACTCTTGGTCTTCCTGAAGCTCCATCTTCTCTATCAGTCCTTTAAAAACGTTTTTACCATTGTTTTACTGACAGTAGCTTGTATGATGAGCTCAGCTGATGAGCAGTTCCACCAGGTGTTTACTAATTGCTGCTGGCTAGTCTGAAGGAGCTGAGTGGGAGAGGGCTGCTCTATGAAGTGAAAGCTTGGAAACTGAAGCTCTGAGGAGGAGCTGCATCTTTGAAAACGGGTCTGGGTCTACCCAGGCATTTTGCACAGCTGAATGGTTACCATGGAGATTAAAGGTTTGAAATGTGTGACATAATACTGGCCCTTTAAGTGAGCACACTTATATTTATGTTAGTCTTTCTAACAGACTTATCTGAATTTTAAAGGACAAATCTCAGACATTTCATGGATGGAAAGGCTTCAAAGTGATTAAACACAGTCTTATTTTGTATTTTAAAAACGACATTTTAACAGCAGTGTGTGCAGAAAGTTTTGACATGCACAATGAGAACAGGGGCCAAACCAAGCTGCAGTCAAATATAAACAGAACAGATGTTTGGGTCTAAATATGAGCAGAGTCCAGACTGTGAGCTCTGCTCCATGTTCAGCTCACGTCTCATCAGGCTGTGAAAGAGAAGGAGCTGATGAATGACTGGGGATGACGTTTGCTGGTTGCAGTGATGTCTGAGGGAAAATCACGCCCTTCAATTATGTTCAATTTATTTCTGTTCATGGACGTTCATCAGCCAGTCGGGGTAAGCAGCTGGCAGAGGCCACACAGCGAGCGTTTAGCTCCTGCCAGCGAGGCGCCGCTCTGTCTTGCCGTGTCGCCGCTCGGCGGGACGAGCGTCAGATTCGCCACGTGCGATTTGAGCTGTGGCTGTTTTCACGCAGACCTTCATCGCTCTGTCTTCCAGGGGACACCCAGTGGGCACCAAACCTCCGTCTCTCGGGGTCAGAGTCGTCGGGGTCACTGGGTGGTTTACAGACTCTGGGCCTGGTGGAATCATTTTTGCCACTTTGCTTCAAATGTCTGTTTGACGGCTTGTTTTTTGCACATGCTCATTGCATTACATGAAGCTCATCGGCTTGTTGCTTTTTATTTTGCAAGCTTTCTGCAGACTTTTTTAGGAAATGACAGATTAAAAAAAATAAAAACAACAAAAATACTCTGAGAAACCTGCCAGGAAGGATAGTTGTGCTTACATTTTTAGGTCATGGTAAAAACCTAAAAATGTAAACTTGAACATGTCATTCAGGTCAAAAGAAATGAGTTTATTTATATAGATATAAGCAGGTAGATTGTTCTAACATCAGATAAGTTATATTGTTAGCATTATTCAGTTTGCTGCTATTACATTAAATGACTTTCTTAATGTTTTATCTATTCAGTCAGATTATTGTTAATATGCATTTATTCCTGCAATTAAACACATTCCAGAAACGTATCCAGTTTGCACCGTATGATGACATTTTCAAACATTTGAAGTTTACAAATTTCCAACCAAGTTTTTCCAATTTGATAATTATTAAGGAATTTTATGATTAATTATTATTATTATCGGGTGTCATCCAGAGACTGTTCTGAACAACACGTTGCTCACACTCTCTGTGTGTGTGAGAGTGTGTGTAGATAAGTCGGCCAGAAGGTGTGTGTTTGCGGTTTGACCTTGCTTGCAGTGTTCATCAGAAGAAGCTGCGTCAGAGCAGATTCCTGTCGCCTTAAGCTGCTCAGAAAACTATCCACACCCCCGCTGCTGGCCTCTTGAGAGTCACCAAACTAAAACTCTGGTATTTTACTTGTTATATTCAATTTTTGAGTTTATATCAATTCTAAGCTAAAATCACCAACACTAACAAAGTGATGTGCCTATAGTATAACACTGTTTAAACCAAATTCACACACAGGCTAGAAGTAAATACTCTTCTTCAAGTCAGGATTACCGAAACTAATGTGAGCTAATGCTACAACAGTTGGATCCGTTTTTGGATCTTCTTTTTAATCGTGATCTAAATGTCCTTTCTTACATTTTCTTAGGATCTCGTAGAATTGGCCGACAGAGTCTAAGGCTCCAGTCAGATGTTTTGAATATTCTTCCACAAGCTTCAGTTTTCTGGAATTTTGACCAACAGGACTGAGATCAGGATGCTGCAAAACAACGTTGTTGTCCTCACAGCATTTTGGTCATTAAAAAAATAGATGGAAGGACATTACTGTTGGGAACAAATGGACAAGGTGCACCAGTCCCTCTTGCAGTAAAGAAACCAACAAAGCATGATGCTGCCATCGCAGTGCTTCATAGTTGGGATAGCATCCAAATGTAACAATAGTCTTTATGGCCAAATACCTCACTTTCAGTTCTTGGAAAACAATGAAAAATAAAAGTCTGCTAAAAATCAGATGTTTTCAATCATTCATGTGAAAGCCATCGTTTTGGCACGTTTTGAAACGAGCTGTCCATGTTTGTCCTGAAAGACATCGAATTGATCAGTGCCCAAAATATGAGTAATATACTTTGATCTGCTTTCTGCCTGTTCCGTGATTTTATCCAAAATACAGGAATAGATGTATATTAACAATAATAATAATAATAATAATAAAAACAGCATGAAATGTAATTTTGGCTACTGGAATATTTCTAAATTTTCTCAAATGTGGGGTTTCATTTCTGAGTAAAGAATGTTTATAAGAGGACGATAACAAAACAAGATTCTCCCTGTTTAGACATTTAGTTCAGATCAGCTCAGCTTATATAGATATATAGATATATTCACATATCTATATATCAATAGTTACATATTATGTCTGCTTATTTTGCCCAAGTAATTTTGCTTTTGACTCATTTCCTGTTTGCTCTCTTCTTCTTCTGTTGCAGTATGATCTATTCCTTGGTTACCTCATAACAACTGCTTTGTTAGCATCCGGGGTCCAGCACCAGTGGCTCCAGACATCCAGTACAGCAGGTGGCGCTGTGGTGGAAGTGATAATTGAACGTAATGATGAAGACTTAAAACTTTCTGGGTCCTTTTTTTTCTTTGAATTATTATTATTTTTACTTTTATTCTTTTCTTCTGTCCTGCGGAGCCAAACGATGAACTCAGCTGGAGCCGAAGCCTCTTTTCAGCTTGGCCCAGTCCAGAACTGTTTCATCTCTGACTGTACATAGAAACTTTGGACTAAACTGCTGTTTACAGTTTGCTCATAGCAAGAGTTATTACACTGCCTGGCCAACGTTTGTAATACACACGTATATTTAAAGGTACATCCAACTAGCTTGTGCTGCCAAGCTAGCTGCACAGCGGCGCTGACGCTAGCCTGGAGGACGTACAGCACAGTAGAGTTTGCACAGTTTGTCTCAGGCACAGCACAATGAAGCACTGTCCAGACCCGTCCTCACCCGCCGTAGCGTCTTGTGAGTCGAAGGACAGGTGGGCGAGCAAACGGGTCACACTGTTCGGAGAGGAGGAGCAGGCTCGGGGCACCCTGCTGAGAACACACGAAGTCCCCAGGGGGCTGTGGGATCTTCTTTCTGACTTTCCATCAATGGCTTTTGTGACGTGTGCATTTTAGTGTATTCTTTAATCAAAAGGCGTTTCTGTTTCCTAAACAGCAAAAGGTATTCCCAGCAAATGCCTCCTTAGTGTTGTCTTATGGTGTTGTTCTGTTGTGGGAAACTTTGACTAAAAAAAACAGAACCCATGGAAAACTTTTGAAGTAGAGGAGCGCACATTCTTTGCACAAATACTAAACTCGCTCTCGCACAAATACCAGTAATATCTGCCTGTTACGGCAGGGAAGGCTTCTCATGTTCCGGCTTCACAGGTGAAGGTCTTCCAACGTGTTCGGCCCGAGCAGCCCGCCTCTTCTGAACGCAGGGAAACAATGTGAATCTTTTCTAGCTCTCTCGGACCAAAATGTTGTATTTAATTATTTAAGCATATGAATTTATGCCTATTTATGAGATGCTGACAGTTTTAACAGTCTGTTCCAAAAGTATCGTACAGAGTATCAAGAATAAAATCAACTTTAGAAAATATTTCAGGGTATATGGGAGGTTTTCAGGACCCCATGGATAACTCTTCTTATAATCATTCAAATGACTGAGATCGGCTGGACCTCTTCGCAGGACAGGTGTTTGAACCTGGACCTCCACGTGTAGCTCGCCCTCCGAGCCAGCAGGCCGCTCTTTAAACCTTCACCGCCGTCTTTACCTGCCATGTGATTCTGTGTGGCAGAGCAGAAAGGAATACCCTCTTCTTCTTTTCTCTTCTTCTAACTTGAGCATTTTATATCCTAAGTGTGGTATGTATGTGACCAAAAAGGTTGAATTTAGATATTGTTTATGAAATAAAGTATTTTAAAATCTAACACCCTTCCCAATCTGTTTTCTTTACATTAATCATACATTTTTAATGATTTAAACCTCTACAGAAACACCTGGGTCACGTTCATACAGCCCCTTCAAACGTTGACACATTTTGTTGGGCTCCAACAGCAGATTCTCTGTTTTAGGTTCATGTCTGATCTGTAATACTGGGTTCTATTTACTAAGAGATAAACAGAACCCAGTTCCAGCTGTCTCTGTCCTCAGAGGTTCTGTAGAGATCGAGTGGCACCATGAAGACAGAGGAACCCAACAGACAGACCAGGGACAACGTGATGGAGATAACTGAGGAATAGAACAGAGTAATATGGCTGTGTTTGTACACACACACACACACACACACACATCCTATGTCTTTGTCTTCACAAAGACTTTCCATTGACTTCCATTCATTCTTCATTCCTCTCAGCCGAAGCCTGACCCGTTCTCTAAAGCTAAACTTTACCAGTAAATAAGACAAACCGATCCACTTTTTCACCTCTGATACCGATATGAGGTTCAGTATCGCCCGATACCGATCCGATACATAAAAAGAGCTGATTTGACTTTAAATGTTCCTTTTCTTAAAACACAGACATAAATAATTTATTTCACAACTGTGACCAAGGTTGTGAGATATTGGTATATTTAAATGTGCTGTATTGGTGCAAACATGTAGAAACAATTTGACTACCTTTAGTCAAACATGCCAAATAAATTGTAACAAACCTTTCAAATAGTTCAGAAAGTGCAATTAGGAATTCTAAATATAATGTAAAATATCTGGCCTGATTTTTGGCCAGATAAATGTGGATAAATCTTAAGATTTACTATCTTAAAGTTCTTAAGATAGTAAATCTTAAAAACCATTGGCCTTCCAAAGTGAGAAATACTAAACTACACACACATCCGACCTGCTGGCCTCTCATCGTGTGTGTGTGTGTGTGTGTTGCCTTGTGTGTATTTGAGTGAACTGAATTTTCCCTTGTCCTGTTTCTTCCTCGCTCATCTCCTCTTGTTTCCTTTTTTCTTTTCCAAAAAAAGCAGTTGGTGACCTTGAGTTGGTGTCCTGCAGCTCCAGGACGCGGCGCTCAGGGGCCCGAGACCTCGAGCTTGTTTGTAAAAGTCCCTTTTTGGAACTTTTGTAAGACAGGGGCCAAATTTAGTCTCTCCTGCAGAGGACTGCAGCCCAACGATGCTTCTGGGAGCTCAACAGAACCAGGCTGGCTGACTTACAATAACTCAGAAACACTTTTTCAAACTGCAAAATCATCAGTCACCTCAGACAGCAGGATTTTGAGATTTAGATTTAGATTCTGCTGGAGTCTAAGTAACTTATCCAATATATTCACACACATACTAAGACACAAACTGTTGATCATTTATTTTTTATTACTCATTGCATCCATAATATTGTGTGTATATGTTATATGGCAGAAAGGTTAAAGTCACGCTCTGACAGAATCCTTGTGAAACCTGTTTGTTGCTGGGACAAGCAGACGCAGGTCTATGGTCTCCGACATGGACAGCTGATTATGGACAGACAATCTGTCAACGTCTCATTCCCTGGAAGAGACGCCGTTCTGTCAACCTGCATCAGCCGCAACTGGCTCAGGTTGATTCCACCTGTCAGCAGCAGCGTTTGCATCCTCCTCCTCTCCACCCCATCATGCTGTTTGCTTTTTGTCTTTTTTACCTCATCTCTCTCTTTCTCTGTCTCTCTTGTCAACCATCATTTACTGTCTCATGATTAGATTCAAAATCGATTTTTGATTCCAAACTATTATTCTAATGAATTCCACTTTAAACTACTGGTGTCTATGGAGCCACACAGTCTACTCCAGTTTGGTTTGTAAGGCAGAGTGACAAATGTAGACATTATGCTGTCTTTTTCACATTTATTAAGCTTTAAATATTTATCTGTACTCAGAGGAATCACTCCCTCCTTGAACCCTTTGATTAGATTTTTAGGCTTGTCTCCGGTGGTATTTGGGTGAAAAGAAAAGAAGGATGCATCATTGTGTAGCCTGGTAAAAAGCAGCTCTTTGTTAGTCTTTTTACCTGATCACTAACGTTTACCTCTGTGATGTGTCAATTTGATGCTTTGAAAGATTACCGGAAATTGCCTGCCCTGTAAACAACCATCTTGCAAAAGAGAAAAGAGCCAAGCTGAACAAGTTGGCGGCTAGTTCAGCGTTTGGAATCGTGTCCAACATGGACTGGACGGCTTCCTTCACTTCCTCCTTTGCCACTGCTGAAACTACAGCCAGACTTTAGCTCTAAAACAGCGCAGAAAATCAACGTCATTGTTCTCAGACTCTGCTGTTCACTGATTGGCTCAGATTGCTACTGGAGACAATCTGAGCCAATGGGAGAAAGACAAGACTGTGTTTTAAGCAAGATTTCTTTTGAGTGGAGTTGCACAAGAAGGCAATGACCAGATTAACCCTTGTATAAGAAAACTTACAACGCATTGAAATGCTTGTAACAAGTTCATTGAAATGAACTAACTGGAGACTACTCTGCTCATTTTATCCACCAACCATAAACAAAAACAACAAATAAAAAAATTCAGCAGCCATTCGGCAAACACAAGATAAAACTAAATGACCAAAGTTTTCTCTCACAGAACTAAATAAATCTGTCATTCAGAGTGAGCAGTATGTCCTTCACCTTCATAACGTAACAACGTTTAAAAAATGTGACCTGAGCAGCACAGATACTGAGCAGCTTTGTGGCAGAAACTGCTACAGCTGCTCTGGTGATTCATGTTTTAACAGAATCACTCCGCAAGTTCTGTGGTTTTCAAGCTGTCCTGACCCAGATGTCCAGCCGTCACGAACCTTTGTCCTCGGCCATTTCAACACATCAGCAGATCGTTCGCCTGCTGTCCAACTCATCTCACAGACGCTGTAATGTAGAGGCAGAGAGCGACGGCCGTGGTTATAATGTTATGCCTGCTCTGTGTTTATCGCCAACAGCATTTTCTTTTTGTGTCCTAGAGACTGAAATCATCCAGGAAACATAACAAAACCCAACAAAGACGAAAATATACCAGGAAGCACAAAATGGAAATAAAACTTGTTTCTAGTCTGAATGTCTAAGAACTAAACATCTGTGTGTGTGTGTGTGTGTGTGTGTGTGTGTGTGTGTGTGGTGTGTGTGTGTGTGTGTGTGGTGTGTGTGTGTGTGTGTGTGTGTGCGTGTGTGTGTGTGTGTGTGTGCATGTGCGTCCGTGTGTGGAGACAAGAGGGAAATCATTTTTAATACTTTTTAGGATTTAGTGCAAAATTAAATGTGGAATGCTTCATTATCCAATTTATCCAAAAAACGGCTGGAAACGGAGATTAGAAATAAACAGAATCAGAATCTGAATGTTGAGCTCAGATTAATAACCAGCATGAAAAGCATGTGAGAAATGAACAGATTAGACACTGGCTCATTGGAATATCTGGAGCGTTAAACTATTTTGTTTTGTTCACTGAATTGTGGGAGAAAAGCACACACACACACACACATATACAGTATGTCTGCACACACACCGTCCACATTCGCCAGCAGACTGGGCTTTTGTTCCTTCATCCCTCAACAGTTCCTGTCCTCGCCTCTCCAAACACAAACACTGCTGTTGCCTCGGCTGCCAACCTTTTATCTGCCTCTGCAGGACGAGGACAGCAGAACTAATGCAAATGTTTGCAAACCAGCCGCACAAACACAGAAACGTTTCTGTGCGTTGAAGCGTATTGAATGTGCACTCATGGATCCGTGGAGCCGCAGAACGTGGGGGGAGTCGTCAGAGGCTCACGTGTGAACTCTGACCTTTGTGTTTATTTCTCAAAGTTTTTGATGGAAACCATTATTTGTGTGAATAGCCAGATCTTAGCCATTTGTCGCTGCAATCGTTCAGTAATCCTGTGATGTAAAAGTAAAGCAAGCAGAGCGCAGGACGCCTGCTATTTCTGTTTACTGATTTCATCGTTTCTTGTATTTGCATGTTTGTCACAAGCTAGGTCTCCATTGAATATGTGCCTAAAACTTTTTTGATATTCCACTAATGCAAAAAAAAAAGAAGACATTTTTGGAATTAAATAAGAAACGCAATAAAAATCACACATGAATAAGTTTCTTCACAGAACAAGACATTAAAGAAGTCGCCACACCATCATCTTCTGACCACTTCCTGTCATCTTCTTTGTTGTTTCCTCCAGTAGGAACATCCTGTTGTTGATTGCATCATTTGTGTGATGCAAAAAAAAAACTGTCACTATTGCAATTTTGCAAAATAAACCATTCATGATCTGGTCGTAGTCGTCACCTCTTCCTAGCGCCGAAGCATTTTCATTAAAAAAAATAAAACTCTTTTCAAGCTTGTGGTTTTTTCTTCTTTTGACAATGAACACCTTCATTTAAAATGCACTTTTTGTCTACTTGTTGTTTTTGACTCATATTTCAATTATGTTGACATTCTGAGGCACTGACGTGTGACAAACATGCAAAAAGGCTCAAATCAGTAAGGAAGAAAAGATTTATGGTCTATGTTTCTTACGTTAGAAAGACTAAATAAAGCAATGCTCAAATGAGTTTAAAACATGTGGAGACATTGTGCACCATTGTCCCAGATCTGAGCCGTTTCAGGTCCGGTTTCTTCACTCTCAAGTGTTTTGAAGAAGTTTCATCTCAAAGTTTAGGAACAATTTGATACAATATTTAAAGGTGTTATAGAACAGTCTATAAACCCCCTGCATGTTACAGTAAACTCTGTCTTAGAGCTGTTAATTCGAAGCCGTCTGGAGGATTCTCCCAGTTGTTTTCCTTCCACTTCATCATAATGACTTGGTTGGAGAGCAGAAATGAAACTGTGCACTCTGCAGTTCTCATGTTGCTGATTGGAAAATTTGTTTCCAAGAGCTTCTGTAATATCAAGATGTAATTGTTTTTCGCTTGCATGTGTCACAGCATTTCAAATCCACGTGAAAATAATGTCCTTCTTCCTGCAGCTCAGTCT